ATGACTGACCAATGTGCATTAGTACCTATTTCTCACTGCCGCGTTCTTCGAGCGGCAAACATACTCGTCGTGGGATGATGAGCTATTTGATCTCATACTATTCGGTCATTTGCATATTACTAGCTTTGGTGTCTGGTACGGGCTGTGTAAGTGGGGAGCGTTACTTGCGGAGTCGTCGCGCACGCTAGTATTTCTTAGCTAATTAACCGGACAGGCACAGAAATACAGAGAACGAGTTTACTTGAGAGACGCAGACGCAGAGAGAGTCGATGCGCTGCAGAACTGCCACGTTGAGCGGGTTGGGTCCTAGTACGAATGCTATCTACGTCACCCCACATGCAACGCATGTTTTGCTGCTATCGCCGACATTCGGAAATAATATTCACTCCAGGAGGCCCTGTAGTTTCTTTGGTGCAGTTCGGCTTAGTGGGGGGGGGGCAGCAAACCCAATTAGTGAAGCTAGTTCGCGAGACATCGTGTAGATCCGTGAATAAAAAGTTTTCTTTTTGCTAGGTTTTCACACGCGCATGCTTTGGAAGCTTGAGCAAATAGCAATTGCTGTAACCGGAGTGGTTCACTTATACCATTTCCTAACTTCACAGGAGTTTACAGGTCTCACCTAAAGTGTAACCTGTTATTCAGCATGCACTAACAAAAAGAACTACCGAAAGTTCAAATGCCCCTCCCAAGCCGAATAACGTTTTTCATTCCGATGTGCACTGTGCAAAAAAAATGCTGAATCTTTTCAGAAGATGCCGCGCCCACTTCATCGGACCTCTCACGCCATGTCGTCGCATGATTTCTATGAAGAACTGGACCACATCTACGAAGAACTTGACAACGTTCGAGCCAAGACTGTTGAGACTCCTGAGAGAAGTATGAGCGCCAGTACACTCAAGGAAGACGGCGATAGTGAAGAACCTGAATACGCTGTGGTTGGCATTGCACTCAGTGAGACGACCTCGGAGTCCGAAACGGAGCTGCCTGAAGAACTTTACGAGTACAAGCTACTTATTGAAGTCGAAGCCGCTGACAGGTGCTGTCCGAAAGGCTCATCCAGACGGTCTGGTATTCCCACGTATAACCACCGTCGTGGCCAAACTGCCCGAATTACCAGAGGAGGCTGAAATAAGCTCTCAAGAAGGGCAAGGAATCGCGTTGTGGAGTTACCGTATGTTGATGACTCTGTAGCGTCCTTTACTGAGGTTTCTCCTTCGGAACTGTCCTATGGTGAAGAAGAATCGAAAACGGCAACGATACGAATGCAGACAGAAGTGCGAGCCGATCACTGTAAGCTCATGATTCGTGGCTGGGAAACCCTGATTTCTGACTCGGAAGACGGATTTTGAAGTGTTGTTGGTGAGTGTGGAAACGCCAAGCTTTTTGATCTCCTACTCTACGCTCCATACCCTGAAGATAGAAGGGGTGTGGCTGAGTAATTCATTTGAACGTGGAGTATGATGCGTTTTTCGTGCGTTTTTCATTTCCATTTGGGAAAACTATCATTCCGTCGTGTAGTGAACGACGACATCAGTGCAGTTGTTCCAAGACGATAATAGTCTACCAAAAGCGCAGCCGTCGACTGTCGCAGCAGTTTAAATGGAGCACGAAGCCACGCCCACTCTTCCTGTGGGATATGGAGTCTATAGATTCTTCAAGCTTACCTCTCGGGTAGTTTTGTTGGTTTTCTGTTCCCCACACTCACCTCGCTTTTCGTAAGGCCAAAAGGCGCATCATCTACAAGCTTCTGAACAGGATTAAAGGCTCATTCCGCGATTACCGGATGGATGGAGAAGTGGGCGGAGTCTCACAACACTGTGCATTCCTCATTGTTGGTTGCGTCCCTAGAAACGCTAAGTGCGGAAAAGGGGCCGTGCCATTGCCGTATGGTTATAGAAGCACATTGACCATGAGTCTTTATCCATTTTCTAAGCCCATCTTTTCAAATGACCAGCGGCAATGTTCCTGTTCGTTGTTCGGCTAATTGCTATTCGCGGAAGGGCCTAAGAAGTAGGGGGGGGGGCACTCTGCAGTGTCGCTTCGACTGTCGGCTGGCTGCACCGTTCCAATTGACGAAGATACCGAAAGCAGTACAAGATGGAATTTTTGGCCAGACTTTTATGCTCCTATTTGTAATCTTGAATGTGATATCGGACAAAAGTAGCGCGTCATAGACTTGTTTTCCAGAAAGGAACCTTGTAGAAACGTTCCACGACAACTGGATATTGTGGACTGTGGGCGGGACCACAGCGATTGCACCCTCTTTTTGGAACGTCGGCTTCTCTGCCGTGGTAGATAGAAGAAGGGGTGCAGCGGAGTTGGACTGAGAACTCCATACCATTTCGCGCCCTACGGTCGCATCGATAGAACGAGGAAGCACTATTCGAGCTTGTGAGATTAGCTGGTATGGATTTTTCTGCGATTTTCCTTGTGAATAACGGCAGCCATTCGCTCGCATCACAGTATGTTCAATGCGGATCTGGGAGTATCAGAGGAGATGGGCTTTGGCACGACGCCAAGTCTGTTTCATACCAATCATATGCCGCTTCCCTCTACAACAATTCAAGGAGAAACACACGCATACGGTGCACGAGCCAACCCTCCTCCCCCCCCAACAACACACCCTACATCGCGCCAAGTGAACAAACTCTAATCGTCCCATGAACTTTCTACCCTTCCAATCGCACTTTGCGCAGCCGTTCACCTTCCACTTGAAACACACCCCCACCCCCCCCCTCCACCGCCACCCGCCCACCCCCCACACACTCCCAACCCGTTTCACCCCTGTCTCTACCGGAGGCTTGCTTGAAACTTTCCTAGAAGACTTTATTGTTCATATGTAAATATCTAACTCAGGTCCCGATTGTTCTCTTACTACTAGGTTTCAATTTTTTCTTTGTACAAATTATGCAGTACAATTATTACGCATAGTTATGCTAGGAATAGACCAAGCCCGATCAATATCATTTTTGTGGAAATTCGTTGTTTATTTTCAGTTGCAAGTCAAATATTTTAGTTGGCCAAGTGCCAGATGTGCCATCTTTGTTATTTTCCTTTGTGCCATACTATTGTACTTAGCCTCTACATCACGCTGATATTATAGTTTTAGGAAAACCGGCGGATACAGTACCCAGAACTGCGCGTAGAATCAATCAAGCGCCGATAGGACCAGCGAGGGTATGTGACAAGACAATCGTAATATGCCGCGATGGTGGGCGTGGCTTGTGATGCCGCACTTGACAGACGAGTTGTCCTGCCTGGCTATTTGATTTTAAATGTTGAGACCGGAAAAGTCGATTCGTCCATCATGGAATCCACTCGAGTTTTGCTGCTCCAATCGATGAACTGGTGCTCATCAAACATTTGCCGCGCATCGCCGCACGATGCGTCGCGCGCGAGGGCACGGCAAAATACTATTGTCTTGCCCGTCTCCCACCAGCGAGTGCAGATGGAGAGTTAAATTAGCGCTTATCTCGCTTCCTGGCCCCTTTCCTCCCCTCGATTTTCTCCTCTGGTACAATCCCCATACTTCCCCTCCTGCATGAACCCCATCACAGCCGACCCATCATCTTCCCAGCTTTTCCCAAAGTTTCGACGTTTTGCGAAACGATGAGAGAGGAGTGGGGATCCCGATCATTTATCAGCTACGATAGTTTTGCCCCCTGAAAGAGGATATACGCAGTCTCGTCCGGTGCGGGTGATGGGCGTGTCTGGAGATGGGTTCGGCGCCGCAAGCGCCAGCCCGTTTTTTTCTTTTTTTTCACTAAGTGGCGAGACTATCATATTGTTCGTATCACTCGTTTTCCACCAATTGATATCGCTTGCCCTCTTCAACAGTTGGTAGAGAACGGGCTGGCGGCGCGCCAAACGCACAATTACTGACACGCCCCGTCATTCGCAACGAACAAGACTGTACAATATGCGTGAAACGGGAAAAAAATCAGCAGTCGGGACATTGTTCCCAGATCAGTTACGACCTCGTCCCCTCCAACGACCAAACGACTCCCGAGGATGCCCGCTTCCTTCCGGCTCCCTCCTAGTCCAAGTAAACTAGTCAGTTGTTCACTTCATATTGTGATATCATAATTTTGCCTATTGCAAGGGTGCTGACTTGTGAGTGAAACGTCCAGCACTTGTCACGATTTCGAACTCGCGTCTATGATTTCCGGCCACCGTGGTCATCCACTGCGCTAACGGAGCCCTTATTCCACTTCGCAATCTTTCGCTTCGAATTCATTGAATCTCATCATTTCCCTCCCCCCTCCTCCCCCATCCCCCGCCCTCTCGCCTTCGCGTCTGATTTGCTCTCATCTGAGCACCTGTGTGATAGCATTCTTGAGGTGATCTGTGAAGCAAAAAAAAGTTATAATTAAAAAAAACAAGCCAAAAACGTTCTTGTCTTTCACGCCATTGATAGGATCTTATTGTACTTCATGATTCAAGCTTCAAATTTCGGCGCTGTTCGCCTGCGTATGGGAGGGGGGGGGGTGCACTCTGCTATTTTCGTAGTTTCATACTACACGTCTTACCTTGATGAGCCCTGTAGTTTGACAAAACACCTCCTCAAGTGTGTAAGCATTGGGAATCAACAAAATGCCCCTACCAAACCAAACTGCGCTGAAATTTCCTATATTTTCTCCGTAGCCATTGTGAAAATGCATTTTGTTCCCTGTTGTTGATGAGAATCAAATCGATCGAAATACAATATTTATGCTTATCAATGTGCAGTCATACCAAAACCTCTTTGAGGCTGCTGTCACGAACTTGATCTGGTTGTGTTCTAAGAAAATGCTATCGATTTTGGATGAGACGGTACTTTACTAGGACAGCGTATATGTGTAAGCATGGCACAGCATGCACCGAAAACGCGGACGAAGCCAGCCGTGTTACGAGCAGGATTAGTTACCCCCCAGGGCACGCCGTACGCTGTGAATCCGTAGTGTCTTAGAATGAGGGGGGGTTGGCGTTTCGTATTGGCCTCTAGAAAAGCTTTATGGATGGCATTTTTCGGTGTCTCATGCGCGCTATCCACAAGTTTGGAAGACTCGCCATTTGCGAAGAGATTCGCCCGTGCTTTGAAATCGGGTGTCATCAGACCTAAAAAGTCCTCTCCGGAGGCGAAGATTTTTTCCAGGGTCTGAGCTGGTGCGATTCTCTCCCCCCTAGTTACACCTGCCCCCTTGGGTGGTGCAGCCCAACGCCAATGCAACCATTATTTCCGATAGTAGAATTAGTATGGGTTGTGATCTCACCCCGTTCGCTCGGATCCGCAGCTTTTTTGGAGAAACTGAAAATGCGTTAGATGCGGATGGAAAAGGTTATAGACTTTGGGAAAAGTTTTGTATATTTATGGCTGGCTAGGTAGCGATTGAAGGAACGTGGAGGGGTACAAACAATTCTCCACAGCGACAAGAGGTGCCTTGATTGCCCTACAGTGACGTTTTTCACAAACGCGCTCTGGAGGAAGTCCATGAAAACGCCCTGTCCATTGCTGAGATATGAACTGTACATGTGACGAATTACAGAAAATACTCTTTATTCGACGGTTTCTTGAATTGTCGATCAAACAGGACAAACATATAGCACCATAGCGCCACTGAGAAGATTCCAGTCATAGCTATGATGAACATCAACATTATGAGAACCCTGAAAGAATACCTGGATCACATTTTTCCAAGACGCTATAGCCTTGTTTACTGCGGATGGAGGGGGCGTGGCAGGGAGGCTGGTTTTGGCACGGCGCCAGCACGTTCTCCAGCAATTGTTGAAGCGAGCAAGTGACAACCATTAGTGGAAATCAGACTTCGCACAGCGCCTAACACACCAACTCGCACAGCTCTCTGACATGCCCCGCTATCCACAGTGATCAAGACCAAAAACTACATGGCTTTTTTCATCCTTATAATCGCCCCAGCGTTCATAAAAAATCGATTAGAATCGCGTAAAATCGATATTATCTTCCACACATGCGCTTTTCGTACTCTCCAAAGTGAAATAGAGACCCAAACAATGTGGGTAAATCATGAGATGTTTATATTCTAAAACTCGGAGCCATCCATTTGTTGTTCCTGATAGCGATGTTTGCCCCTCAAGAGCCCCTCAAGAGACCTTATTTCGTATTTTGAAGTTTCATGTGAAATTGTCCTCGGAGTAAGAAATTGTTTGGAATTCACGAACACGCCTGTTTTGTGAGCGTTTGGGATTCTCGCGGCAAATAACCTAATTTAGGGTCATACTGAGGGCAGATTCGGCAAAAATTCGTCGTGGATTCCAAAAAGTAAGGTCATACAAATGAAGAGTGCTCAGTGATTCACAGAGAAAACGTAATTTTTAATCAATGTCGATCGAT